ACTTTGCATGACAAGTGCCAGATTCTGGTGGTCAAATGACTGCCTTAGAGGGAAAAACAATTAAAGCTTGAGACAACTTTCCTGAGAACAAGCACGCCTTCAGTTGTCTCCACTACAAGGTGTAAATTCCCACTATCCCAACCTGCTGTAGCATCATGTAAGGACAAAGAAGGTAACAGATGTCCCATGTCAGACTGAGTCCACTGAGATCAGCASCTCTCAGCACCAACAGCAAACAAGAGATCCAGGAAAACAAGCACAGAGCAAATACACACTGGACCCAACAAGGTTTTCCAGCTCATAATATATCCCAGATGCCATGTCTTAGGTAACTTGTGGAGGAAGACACATATTAGCACTCATGATTTCTCTCCTGTGCTGAACTGCCCTCTGTCCTGTCCACTTCCCATTTCCAAACCAGTGTTGTTCTCCTTTCTGTTCTCATCACTGAGGATACAGATTTTCTGTGACTTTGTTAAAAGTAATGCCATGTCCAATGGCTCATCTGCACTCTTAACTCTCCCCTAACTTCAGTTAAAAAAGCCATGTATTAGCTTTTTATTCATGTGCCAGTGGAAAGGTCCCCATGATAGTTTCACTTTTGTCCATTTTTCCTCTATAGACTTATTAGAGGAGWAATTTTGCCAGTTYCTGCCTGTTCTAGGGAGCATTTCARGTTGCTGATAACTGACCTGTCTGCAAAGCCTATTGCAAAGTTGGTGRTTTTAATACAGAGCTTCTGCAGGTCCTCTGGGATCTGCTTTGCAAGAACTGGGCAGAGTGTGAAGCCTGGTGGTGCCATCCTGGCTCAGCTCAGCTCTGTCCTGGRAACACASCAGCCAAATCACTGCCCAGAAAGACACCTGATCCTTGTCAGTGTGGAGATACCAAGCCTGCTTTAGTCTTGTGTATTCTGATTTGCCCCTCCCTCTCTTTCCCACAGCTTATATTATTACTTTGTGACAAAAGTTTCATTGTTCCCCTTAAACTGTTTCATAAATGCTTTCCTGATGGTTCTGCAGTTATTACACATTCTCTGGTCCTAAGTGATCATCCAGATGATCTTCAATGTCACTCTACGTGGTGAGGTATGAAAAGTCTTTGTCTCCTTTGTGCC